AGAGAGATAGAAGAGAGGACAGACTAGGGGAAGGGATATTCAGAATGCATGCCATCTTGGGGTGGGGGGAGGGGTGAGATGGGGTGAAAATTTGGAGCTCAAAAACTTATGGAAGTGAATGTTGCAAACTAAAAATAAATAAATTTATATATAAAAAAAAAGAGAAAGCAGTTGGTTCTGAGATTTTAAACATTACCATTAGTCATTTTAAAACCCTGGTCTGAACTACATTAAAATGTGCTTTTAAGTAAGATGATCGGGGTAGATAAAACCTAATATCAGGCTGCCATTTTTAAAAACTTTGGCAGCAGATTAACCAGAAATAGTGGGCCTCATGTCATGAAATGCTTTGTGAAATATATAATACAAAATAATTAGAATTATACCTTGAAGTTCAGTGTGATATATTTGGGAAATAGATCCAGGTGTAATCGAATTCTGGTCTCATTTTAAGTGAAGTATGCCTCTCTTCATAAGATGCTTTCAATAAGTCAGAATTTATTGTACTATTTGGCATTGAGGCAAAGTGTTAAAAAAAAATGCATGGATATGGGTGGCTGTGATATCCTGTCTTACACCTGGCTGCTTATTCTGTTCTTACTTGAAATTAATTGGAACTATGGATACTTGAATCATTTTGTGCCCTTGGACTTCAGCCTGGAAGTGGCTTAGTTGTCCCAATGTGCTTCTTCCTGTCATGCCAAAATGCCTACAAGCAGGACAAGTCTTTCATACAGTTGTTATTGTAATACCCTAGCACATCCAGCTGTTTTCAATCTGAGATGCCATACCCTGAACAACTAAGTAAATAAATATTTGTCCTTGTCATCTGTCAGTTTAGAGTTATATATACGGGCCTTAAATTTTTCTAATTAGATAATGATGTAAGAGTTTATGGGACCAGAATGTGTGTGTGTATGTGTGTGTGTGTGTGTGTGTGTGTGTGTGTGTGTAATTAAATCCAAAACGTCTTCAGTTTTGATTTTTTAATTTGCTGATACACACACACATATACACAATTTCCCCCCAAGTACATGTTAAAAGAGTTTTTTAACATGAACTTTAGAGTTCCAAATTCTGTCCCTCCCTCCTCTCTGAGATGGCAAGCACTCAGAGAGGTGACACATGGGCAATCCTGTAAAACATTGTTTGCTGTTTGTGCCCCTGTGCACACAACAGTGGCTGGCCCGTTGTAAGCACTAAATGAAGCTTGCTGATTGATTGGGTGGCTCAATCCAGTCTTTTTCACTCGTGCCATAGTTACTCCAATGATCGACTCGAAGCACACTGGCACCTCAGTTCCCTAGAGAGCTGTTTCCTCCAATACTTGACCATCCCTTCTATCTAGGGCTTATGAGGGCTGGTCCCTCAATAAACACTTTTATTTACGTTTTCACTATTACCAATCCTCTTTTCCTCCTTGAACTCTGTCCTGCCCAGTTTCATAAGCCTAGCTAAGCCAGACAAATCCACTTATTGACTCTGCATAGTAAGAGAAATGATTATTCAATAACAAGTTATTGGGGAGATCTCTGACCTTCCCCAAAATGTACCCCACCTAGACTGTCTTACCTAGGTGGAGCTGTTGCCAGCTAGAAAACCGTACAAAGAATTCAATCTAAGGTTGCTCTGGCAGGGGGCTGTCTTCTTTTGTCTAGATTACCCTACATGGGTGATGGGGTATAGATAAGTCTCTTGGACCTAGATCAAGTGATCAGAGTCATGTCACGTTCCCCAACTCCTCAGTAGAATAGGTGAGCCTGTCATTATAATATTCATTCTTCTCAGTAATTGTGAAACAATTGGTCTATTGCCACCCTCAGGAACACCCACTCTTCCAAAGGCACATGAGTGTTGAGTGGGTTCCTTGAAGGGTCTTTGGCATTTGAGAGTGTCACAGACCCCTTTTATTAACTATTGCTGGCATGATTAATTACCCAGAAACTATGTCTCTGACTTTTTATACGTCACAGTGGGGTAGGTCATATCTGCACTTCAAGGCAGTGGGTGGCAGCATGCTGCATAATGTTGGTCATCTGAAGTCACTGGTCATTGCATTTATCAGAGTTCTTAAGTCTTTGAAGTTGTTTTTTCTCTACAATATGAAATAAATTCCCCTTCAGTTTCCGATCACTTTTCTCTGCATCAGCTTATATAATTCAGGCGTCTCTGAATCTACAATTTGATCAGTCCTTCTGGCGCTAATAATCCATTACATTCAGATACCAGAGTTTGTTCAGCCATCCCTCAATGGGCACCCATTGTTTCCAGTTCTTTGGTATAAGAAAAAATGCTGCCATAAATCTTTTTGCACATTAGGATTCTTTCCTTCTTTTTCTGATCTCTGGGCGGTATGAACTCACTGGTCACTACCACTAGATCAAAGGCTGTTAAGTCTGGGGACTTCTGGTGTGGTTCTTGGTTACTTTGTAGAAAGGGTGGACCCCTGGCATATTAGGGGGCCCATTTTCCCACAGTCCCTCGACAGTTGGCGTTTTCCCTTAATGGTCATTTCTGCCGATCTGATGGATGTCAAGTTAGCATTTTTCTAATAGTACTTAGGAGCATTTTTTCATAAAGCTTTGAATTGCATGGATTTCCTCCATTGAGAGTTATCAGTCAGTCAATAAACATTTATTAAGTACTTGCTGTTTGTCAGGCACTGTGCTAAGTACTGAGGATACCAAAAAAAAAAAGGCACAAGACAGTTCCCTGAAGAGGCTTACAATCTAATGGAGAGATAACGTGCAAAGCAAGCTATGTACAGGAATACATAGGAGGCACCAGAATTTAGAGGGGTTGGGAAGGCTTCCTGTAAAAGGTAGGATTTTAGTTGGGGCTTAAGGGAAGCCAGGGAGGTGAGCAGTGGAGACGGGGTGCAGAGCATTCCAGTGAGGAGGACAGTCAGAGAATGACCAGATCCCCTGGATGGCATGTTTTGTTTGTGGGACAGCCGGGAAGCCAGTTTCTCTGGACCAAAGAGTCCATGTCCAGGAGTAAAACGTAAGAAAGCTAGAAAGGGAGGGGACAAGCTTACAAAGGGCTTCAATGCCAAAAGAGTGTCTGGTATTTGCTCCCAGAGGGGATAGGGAACCGCTGGAGTTCATTGAGTAAGGAGGTAGCACGATTGCACCCATGTTTTAGGGAAATCACTTTAGTGGCTGAATGGAGAATGGATTTGAAGAGGGAGAGACTTGAGGCAGGAAGACCCACTCTGTGGCTCCTGGTGATAAGGGCCTGCACTACGGGTGGGTGTCAGAGGAGAGAAGGGGGCAGATGCCAGAACTGTTGCAGAGGTTAAATCAGCCAGCCTTGGCAGTAGACTGGACAGAGATGGAGTGAAGGGGCCAGGTGCCTCACAGGGTGCGAGCCTGGGTAACTGAATGTCGGAACATAATCAGAGAAGCTTCCCACAAAGATTCTTATCTGGTGAACGATTTCCTTTCTAAGGTTAGCTGGATTGCTTTTGTTTGTGCAGAAGCTTCTCAGTCTAAAGTAATCCAAACTGTCCATTTTCTCTTGTGTGACCTTCTCTGTCCTTTCTTTGGTCACGAATTCTTTCTTCTTCCAGCCACAGTTGTAAATTCCTATCTTTCATGTGTTGTGGCCTTTGATATCTGGGTCATGTATCCATTTGAAGGCTACTAAAGTTAATTTTTAATTAACAGCTTTGTTAGCAATATCAGCAAATTTTTTAGCAACTTTTATCCATGTTCTCCCAGAAGCTCAACACAGAGGGTCCTCTTAACACCAGCCCTAATTCGGAGTCAATCCTTGCTCTGTCCTGACCTCACAAAGGTACCATTGGCGCACTCTCTTATCATCCTTCCACTTTGCTGCAGGACAAGCCCAAGTTCCTCAGTGCAGTGTCTTTCATTCATGTATTTCATAGTTGTTTATATGTGTTAGCCTCTTCATGCCCATCACAAGCCTCTCTGTTGCTGAGTTATACACAGTTTGGGGTTCCATATCTTGGTCTCACAGCAGTACTGGTAAAGTCTCCCCAGTAAACGTGCCTTTGTTTTCATGTTTCTCACTTACATTTTAATCTGGTTCAGGCTCCACTCGGGAGTGTTGTGGACTGCTTGTGTCCAGCAGGTTGCATATTTACTTCCTCTCATCTGGAGTATACAAAATAACTACAAAATGGTTAAAATAACTGGGAGTGGAAAAACAAAGACATAAATAAATCTGACCCAAATAATTAAGACTAGATTAACAGAAAGAAAGACCTAAGTAATTGGAGAGGGATTAAATTTGTTTGAATAGCATATGCTAACATAAGAGAAATGATAGTACTTTTATGAGTAAATCTATAGCTTTGATATTATTCCCATCTGATTGCCAATGTGATATTGTATAGATTTAGACAGAATAACAGTTCATATAGAGGGTAAAAATAGTTAAGAATATTTTTTAGGGAAAGTAATACAAATATGAATGATGGAGGTCTAAATTGTATTATAAAATAGTAATTATCAAACACATACTTTGCTAATTAAAAAATAGAAAAGTACTTAAGTAGAAGTGCTTCAGTGAGAACCAGACCCCTGCAAACTAGTGGGGGAAGGATTTTTTTTATGAAAGAGGAACCTGTGGGGAAAGTAGAAAGCAATTTGGCAGAAAATAGATTAGAACATAACTTTTCTTGTAGAAGATAGAATTGCTTATGTCAGTAGCAGAAGTAATAGAGGACGTTTTCTTTTTTATTTCATTCAGACTGGGAGGCTACTCACGAAACTGAGGAGTTCATGCTAAAGCTGGGGATTTCAGTGGAAGGATCATACCAGGAAAGAGTCACAGAGAAGGGTCCTTGTTTTTTCACTATACGAGAAGCCTGGGAATATAATGCCATAGCAGAAAGGCACCAGAGTAATGAGGGGAAACATTCCTGGAAAATAAAAATAGCCCAAAAGAAAAATGGAAATAATTTGAGAGGCTGCAAATATAACCAATATGACAGAAGCTTCAGGGTAGGACACATCTCTTTTGTTGGACAGAGAACATCTGTAGGAATACGTCTCCTTAAACGAGATATACACCAAAACTACCTCAGACGATCCACTAACCTAAGAAAATGTGATAGAATCTATTCAAAGAAGATATTCCCAAAGTACAGGGAATGTGGGAAATTCTTTAAACATAATTTAGAATTGTTTGAAAATTGGAGGCTACATAATGAAGAGAAACACTATCAATGTAATGAATGTGGGAAAGGCTTCAGCCAGAGGGCCAGTCTTATTCAACATCATAGAATTAATACTGGAGGGGTGGCTAGCTGGTACAGTGGATAGAGCACTGGCCCCAGATTCAGGAGGACCTGAGTTCAAATCCAGCCTCAGACACATAACACTTACTAGCGGTGTGACCCTGGGCAAATCACTTAACCCCATTGCCTAACAAAAAAAAAATCATACAGGAGAGAAACCTTACTAATGCAGTGTGTGTGGGAAGGCTTTCCGATGGAGCACAGGTTTTTCTCAACATCAAACAATTCATACTGGAGAGAAACCATATACATGTAATGAATGTGGGAAAGCCTTCACCCAGAATGCAGGCCTTTCTTTGCATAAGAGAATTCATGCTAGACAGAAACCTTATGAATGTGAAGAATGTGGGAAGGCATTCTGCCAGAGTTCACAACTTAATGAACATCAGAAAATTCACTCTGGCGAGAAACCATATGCATGTAACATATGTGGGAAGGCCTTCCATAGTAGCACATACCTTACTCGACATCAGAGAATTGATACTGGAGAAAAACCTCATGTATGTAGTGAATGTGGGAAGGCTTTCACCCAGAATGCAGGACTTTCTTTGCATAAGAGAATACACGCTGGGGAAAAAACTTTATGAATGTGATAAATGTGGAAAGGCCTTCTACCAGAGCTCACAGCTCACTCAACATCAGAAAACTCATACAGGAGAGAAACCTTATGAATGTAACAAATGTGGTAGTGCCTTCCAGCAAAAATGACAACTTACTCAACACCAGAGCCTTCATACTGGTGAGAAATATGAATGTAATCAATGTGGGATGGTTTTTTAACCTGAGTAGAAACCTTGTTAGACATGGAGAACTCATAGTGGAGAAAAGCCTTATGAATGTCATGAATGTGGAAAAGCCTTCTGCCTGAAGGCACAACTCACTAAACACAAGACAGTTCATACTGGTGAGAAACACTTTGAGTGTGATAAATGTGGGAAGACCTTCTGCCCCAAAGGACAAGTCTTATTAAACATCGGACTATTCACAGTGGTGAGAAACCCTTTGAATGTAATGAATGTGGGAAGGCCTTCTGCCTGAAAACACAGCTTATTCAACATCATAGAATTCATACTGGTGAGAAACCATTTGAGTGTAATGTATGTGGCAAGGCCTTTAGTCAAAGGACAGAACGTAATCAGCATTATAGAATACATACTGGAGAAAAATGTCACGAATGCAATGAATGCGGGAGGGCTTTCTTTCCGCTTGAGCACACACCTTACTCGGCACAAAAGGATTCATATTGGTGAGAAACCCTATGAATGTAATGAATGTGAGATGGCCTTCTGCCTGAAAGCACAACTAACTCACCATCAGAGAATCCATACTGGAGAGAACTTTTAAGAAGATTGTGAATGAGGGAAAGTTTTCCTCCAGAATACTTTACAAAACATCAGTTATACTGATGAGAGAAAACTTATCTATGTAATGAATATGGAATGCCTTTTTGCCAGAGCACAGAACTTAGGAAACATTAAGTAATTCATATTGAGAAATCTTACGAATATTGTAAGCTGAAAATTAAAGAATTTGAGCAAAGTGAAATCCCACATGAAGTAGGTCCTTCTCTCCTTTTCCATTGCAGCTGTTTTAAATCTTCAAATTATGTGCCACCCTCCTCCCCAAAACTAAATACATAGTGCAGTTGACTTAAATACAATACTCATTTCTATGTAAAATTAACATATAAGGCATCTGCAATAAGTATTGGAATTTAGAGGAAGATAGAAATAATTGGGTTTGTTTTTTTAAATCCACACATGCTGAAATGTGGACAAAGATGAGATCAGAGAGAATTTATAGGTAAAACTATTGCCAACTTTGTCCACATTTAGCAAGTATGAACTTTTTACTCCTCACATTTGTTTGTTTACAATAAAAACATGTTTTCCATTCATTTGAAGTATGAGTTTTTTAATGATAAGCAGTTTGGAACATTCATATAGGTGTTAATAGTTTATGAATATTTTGAGAACTCTTTACATCCTTTGATCACTTTTCTACTGGGAACGGGCCTTGGTCATATTTCTGATTGTTGCCTGTAGATATATCTGGGGTATCAAATCCTTCTCAAAGATACTTGGTACAATCAACAAATTGCCCTATCCTAGATGTGTTAAAATTTTGCTCATAGAAAAAAAATCTTTAATTTTATATGTTCGGCTTATCTTGTAAAAATAATTGCCCAGACTGTTAAAAATTCATCCTCTACCCAATACTAATAATAATGAAAATCAAAACAGCCCTCAGCCATCACTTCACCCAGAAAATTGGCAAAGATGCCAGAAGATGAGAATATTCAAGGTTGAAGAGATTGTGGAAAGATGGGCATATTAGTGCACCAATGGGAGCTCTATAAATGAATCCAACCATTAAGTGGATGATGTAAAGTGACTAAAATGATTGTGCCCTTTTACCCAGAGATTCCACTCCTAGGTATACACCCTAAGGAGTTCATTGACAAAAACAAAGACTTTGTATACACCAAAGTACTTACAGCAGCACTTTTTGTGATAGCAAAGAACTGGAAACAAAATAGATAGTTAAGGAATAGCTAAACAAATTTTGGCACCTTAATATAATGGAATAATACTGCCCTGTAAGAAATAATGAATATGATGAATTCAGAGGATTATATCAGTGGATATAAAGCTATGTAATTAGAGACAGGAAAATAAAACACACAGAACTGTAGCAGTGTTCATGGAAAAAGCAACCGCAAAATAAGAAATTAAGTGTTGCTAAAAAATAGAAAGGACAAGATGGTTCCCAAAGAAGAGCTTTAAAAAGACACATCCCTGCTCCTTTACACAGGTCAAATTCCACAGGCATAAAACACTATATGTGAGATCAGATTATTTTTACATTAAATTGGTTTTGTTTTGGATTTCTTTAAAAAACAAAGAAGTCCTGCTATAAGTGAAAGGTCTCTGGGGTGGTGGAAAGGAAAGGATGCAAGGGAGAATGTAAAAACAAAAGATATCAATAAAATCTTTTTTTTTTTACATATGATCAAAGGCTCTAGAATTCTTGGTATGGGGCATCCCATATTAAACTTGTGGCCAGAATTGAAATCTACATTTCCATATTAGTCTTTTTGTACAAGAGGAGAAAATCAACCCAGTCTATAGGTGCCGCTCCAAATATCTCACCCCTTAGTGTAAGACAGATCCCAAATTTTTTTTAAGAGAATCTCCCACCACTAAAATAAACTTAAAATAATCCTAACTTCAGCAAGAAGCCTAGCATATAAGCAGCACTGGGAGAGCTTAATACAAATAATAAAATAATATGACCTAAAAAAGCACAGTTCCTGCAGTGGGTTATGTCAAGGGGAGCCCAAAGTATGGCTCATGACACAAAAACAATGACCAGCAGCATCAGGGTCAAAGGCCAGATGATATTTCCAACACCATCACCAGAACCCGTTGCAGATCCTCGCCATGTGAAAATAGCTACCATGGATATGGTGTGCCAAGGGCAGCCGGGTAGTGCACTGGATAAAGTGCCCGGCCTGGAATCAGAAAGACTTATCATCCTGAGTTTCAATCTGGCCTCAGACACTTAATAGTGTGTGACCCTGGGCAAGCCATGAAACCTTATTTGCCTCAGTTTCCACATCTACAAAATGAGCTGGAGAAGAAATGGCAAACCATTCCATATCTGCCAAGAAAAAGCCAAATGGGGTCATGAAGAGTTGGACACAAGTGAACGACAGCAACTACAATGCACTAAGGTTTGCAAGGCCCTTGATAAATCACCTCATTTTAAGCTCACAACAATCCTGGAAGCAGCTACCTATTTTTTAGATGAGAACATTGAGGCAGACAGTGCCTTGCACACGTATCTGAGGCTGGGTTTGAACTCTGGTCTTCTAGGTACTGAGTCCTGTGTTCTATCCACTGCACCAATTTAGCTGTAGGAAGGTAAAAATTGAATTAAGTTAGAAGCTCCTTGCCCAAGGTCTGAGTTCATCTAGTCCCTGGGAGGCTGAATCAGAGGTGTGATGGAAAAGCTTAAGTCCTAGTTCAAATTCAGCCTCAGACACTTGACACTTACTAACTGTGTGACCCTAGGCAAGTCACCGAACCCCATTGCCTGGCCAAAAATAAATAACAAAAGCTTAAGTGCTTCCCACCATTCAACAATAGAAGCTCTCAGAGGATAATAGGGAAAGTGGAAAGCCCAGCGAGCAGGATCCCAACAGGACGGATCTTAAACTTTCTTGGTAAAATGGGCTCCCTCGTCAGAGACAATGGTACAGAGGACTAAGCAAGGAACGCACATATATTCTGTAAGAACTCTGATGATGTCTCCCTCCCATGACAGTAAATGTAACTGGCATTACAGTACCATATCCTAAGCATATATAAACTGCAGTGAGGGCAAACCTCTTGCCCTGATAGAGGAAGAGGGCAAATATTTCCAAATAGAACGAGGACCATGTACAATGGTACCATTCTGATCATTCAAAAGGTAGACACTTCAGTTGGCACAAGTATTAAGTAGAAGTACCTGCATTTTCCTTAGGTAAAGGGATCTTATATTTCAAAGGTCAACACAATGTAGAAATGGTGCAGCAGATCGAATTGTGAACCTGGACCCAGGAATGCCTCTTCTGGATAAGACATTTACTATCTGTGTAACTGAGAGAGTCACTTAACCTTTGCCTTGGCAAACATTTATTGGGCACCTACTATGTGCCAGGCACTGTATGAAGCACTGGGAATATAAATACAAGCAAAATGACAATCCCTGCCCTCAGGGGGCTTAATTCTAGGAAGGATGATAAATTAAAAGTAGTTGAAAGTGATGAAATGGGTTGGGAGAGAAGGTTCTTGGCCCTAGGGCATGATGGAGACATCCAGAAGAATGCCCGTAGGAAATAAATGGCTAGCCTGGGCACCTCCCTTAAATGGAGGTTCTTAGGAATTCTCTACCCTCCAATCAGAGGAAAAGCCCCTGGGGCAGAGGGTACTTCCAAGGTATGAGTTCTAGGGTTGAAATGGTCTTCCAAGATGAAGAGCGTTCTAGGACATGACTCATCCCAGGAGCAAGCTTTGCTGAGGAGGTGTTAAGTTTCAGAGTTGATTTCATGTTGCAGATTGATAAGTTTCTGGAGATGATAAAGTCCAGGAAAGCATGCCCAGATAGATGATGGAGCACCACATCTGCCTTTCTTTTAAGGAAATCAACATTCGAGGAACATTCAGTTTAGCGTTGTTTATGATGTCACTAACACACACTTTTGTTGTTGAGTCGTTTCTGTCATTTTCAACTTCATGACGCCATTTTGGCAAACATACTGAAGTGGTTTGCCATTTCCTTCTCCAGTTCATTTCAGATGAGGAACTGAGGCAAACAGTTAAGTGACTTGCCCAGGGTCATATAACATACCTTACAATCAACCATATGTGGTAGGAGTCAGAAAAATTCTTCCATTGCTCCTGATCCCAAAGAGAAGATCTTGTAGTTATACATTCCTTTCCTCTTCTGTACCAAGACCACTCATTCAGACCCATGGCCACTACCCAGAAATGAGTATAAATAAAAATCTTATTTGCAGCATCCCCTAAGAGTTTCCCAGAATCCCAGCCTACCCCACTTGGAATTTTTGACAGGGCCCCCATCCCTTTGGGTCTACCCAGTCACTGGATTAATAGCTGCATAGTCCAAAATTTTTTTCAAGAGTTAAGCCTTGTAGGATGGGTCGCACTGGATGAAAAGCCAAAACATTGGTTCCAGAACTAGAAATCTCAGCCTCTGGTAAACAACAGCAGTTAAGCTGGAGGCTGTAACCCAAAATCCCCCTAAATGAGGATGAGGCAATACCTTCTGCCTGTTGGAGCTCCTGAATTCTTCAGAGAGAGAGGTATAGACAAGCAACGTTCCCAAACAAAGTCTTCCCTTCTGGTAAGCTCAACAAATTTATCCGGGAATTCCACTGATTGGCCCTTCTCCCATTCACTTATGAAACTACTTAGGAAAATATGGTTAGGAATCAAGAAAAGAAAGAAGTCAACATGAGGATGACTCTACCCTGAGGCAGCCTTGATGGTTTGTGAGTCTTTGCCAGGAACTGCCATATCAATAACATTCCAGCCACACAGCTCACCTCCCCTTTGTCCAGTCTGTGCCACCTACTGGCCAGCTGCCTTGCCCCAGGAGGGGAACCCCTTCCCCTTCCCCTGCTTTTCAGCTCAATTTCATTCATTGTCTTCTCCCTTTAGAAGGTGACCTCCTTGAGAGTAGGGACCATCTTGTGTCTGTATCCCTGGCGTAGCGTAAGTGCTTAATAAATGTGTTCTCTCTCTATTCAGAAGCTTCATATTTGTATACCATGAAGTCTTTCTTCAAGAAGAGTAACCAGCAGAATTAACCCTTTGGAGCCCAGGCATTGTCATCTGATCAACCACTGACCCTCCAGACTCCAAGCCTTGTCATTCACTCTGCCCCTTCACCCTAGGGACCACTGTGCCTCTTGATCTGCCTACAGACAAATCCTTCTATTTGTGTTGTCTCTCCGTGAGGGCAAGAGCTGTCTCATTCTGTCCCCATTCTCAGTACTTAGCATGGGGTTTGGAACTTATTATAGTCTTAATAAATAAGGCTTTTCCCCCATTTCTTCATTTTAATAAATGCCATTGGCTCACATTCTTAAGATACGGCCTGCTTGCATTAGTGATACACATGCTTAGATTCTGTAAGAGTCTGGCCAATGTGGCGGGTGTTCTAATAAACCTTGTCTTTGGCTGTAAGAAGACTTGGGTCGAATTCATTTGGGCTGAGCTCCTTAGGGAACTTGCAACCTCACAGGAAGCTTATATGGGAAAAGCAGTGGATTAAGTGGCAAGTATGTTAATTAGGTGATTACATTCCACTACATCATTCACTACTGGAAACCTCAGGGAGGCGGGGTTTCCCAAGGATATGTTTTTGGTCTGTTATGTCTGTAACAAGATAGTTTCAGGAACTGACGTCTACAACTTGACCTCTGGATTGTATACATAACTGGGGGCATGAGTACTTGATAGTTATGCTGGTATAAGGTAGTTCTGGGGCAGCTAGGTGGTGCAGTGGATAGAGCACCAGCCCTGAAGTCAGGAGGACCTGAGTTCAAATACAGCCTCAGACCAAATACACTAGCTGTGTGACCCTGGGCAAGTCATTTAACACCAATTGCGTAAAAAAAAAATGTTTAAGTGTCCCACTTGGAAACACATCTCCCCTTCCCTTGGAGCACACACTTCTGTGGGTGCTGGGTGTCGTGTCCCTGCGTTCCCCAAGGCAGTGCCAATTTTATGTGAGTTTTACTCTGTGTGTCTGAGCTTCATTTCTGCTCTCTCTCTCTCTCTCCTCTCTCTCCTCTCTGTCTCTCTCTCCCCCCCCATCTCTCTCTCTCCTCCTTTTTTGCCACTCTTTCTTCACATTTGCCAATAAAGCTTAACACTGAATTGACCCCCACTGTAATTACATATTATTCTTGGCATCCAAGACCATGAATGGGGTTTGTTTTCCCACAAGTATCTGATTGGCCCATAGGCCTTTCCTTAGACATAAACTGGGTCCCTGGAATGGACTTAATCTATTGTTAGCCACCCTACCCTGGGGGAGTCTGATAATGTGACCCCACCTGGGTAAGATAAGGGTCATTAAGGGAACTCTGTGTCCTCCCAGGAGGGTCTCCCATAAGCCAGAGGACTGTCAGAAAACAGAAGCAATGAAACAGTTCTCTAAAGGAATGATTAAACATTGAGGAAAATGAAGACCCACAAATGCCAGGCCTTGCTTCTCCCCTTCAGAAGGACAAAGCATAAAAAAATCTATATAGCAAAAAAATTATAATGATGAAATAATACACCAAAATTTGGGGGATGCAACTATAGCAGTCCTTAGGGGAAAAGTCATATCCCTAAAGACATACATTAACAAAATACAAAAATAGAGGATTAATGAAATACGCATTTTAAAAATCAAAAAGTGAACAAATCTACAATATGCATAGAAGAGGAAATACTAAAAATTAGAGGATAAACTGGATATCAAAAATAATAGAAATGATAAAAATTAAAGATCGTTCTTTGAAAAGGCTAACACAGTTGATAAAAATTTAGTCAGAAAAAGCGAGGGCAGAAAATCAAACGAACAAAACGACCAGAAGATTCTCGTACCTCTGTCCATTAGAAATGCTGAGAGTGAAAGCTTCCTGGGTCACGACGGTTAGGCCGGTCAATGTTGTAATGTTGTGGTGTTGTCATGAGCAGCCATGCTTCTGTCTTTATTTTGTATGACGTTTCGTTATCATATTTTAGGTGATAAATAACGCTTATACATGACACAAAATAAAGAATGAAAAATTGTCTAGAGGCAGCTCGATGGCTCAGTGGATAGAGTGCCAGGCCTGAGGTCAGGAAGACCCGAGTTCAAATTCAGCTTCAGACACTTACTACCTGCCAACTAACAGTTTCTTTCCATGGGTGTCGAGATGCTGGGCAAATCACTTCACTTCTGTCTGCCTTAATCCACTGGGGAAGGGAATGGCAGACTGCCCAAGGGCCTTTGACAAGACAACCCCAAAAGGGGCCCCAAGAGTCAGACAGGACTGAACAACAACATACATAGTGTTTACTGAATTGTGAATAACTCATGCCTAGTCAGCTCCTGTTGGGGTATGCCACACTGAGTATAATGAAGCCTTTCTTCTGATTCGTTCTGGCTTATTGGCATTAGCTAGTAGAAATGAAAAGAAAAATCCCACAACACCTCTCATCTATTTTCAGAAAATTGTTTTGTAATTGATAGAAATTCATCTTCCCTCCCTCTTAGTCCCCTGCCCCATTGGGAGGAAAAAAGAGAGAGAGAGAAGGGGAAAAATTCTTCTAACAAATATGCGTAGTTAAGCAAAACAGATTGAATCACTGGCTACATGTGGTGTTTGTGTGTATGTATGCATGTAAAGGAGGCTTGCCCTGTGCTCTGCAATGCCTAGCTCTCCTAAAATGGTGGCACCCTACCCTGAGCTCCACTACCATGTGGCTGATAGTAGCCATTGACACGGGTACCAGTAGCCAGAATAGGCTGCATCTTTCAAACTGGCTAGAATGAAACGGTGTCTCTATCTCCCACTGCTTCCTGAGGGTGGTGATCATAGCTCATCCACAGCTCAGTAACCATGAGGTGAACTGGTGGAGTTGGGGGAGTGGGGAGGTGGGGAGGAGGTCATAGTATTTTAAGGCAGTTAGGTAGTACCACAGTGAACAGAATGCTGAACCTGGAACCAGCCTCATAGACTTACCAGCTCTGCGACCCTGGGCAAATCACAGCCTTCCTCTGCCTCATTTTCCTCATCTTTTAAATGGGAATAATGATAGCACCTTCCTCCTAGGTTGTTGTCATGATAAAATGAGAAAATATGTGTAAAGTGCTCTGTAAACTTTAAATTGCTATACAAATTCTAGGTATCATCACCACCATCCGTCCTTTGGAATCATGGATTGTGGTTGCGTGGATCACAAATTCCTACAGCTTTGTTTTCTTGAGAGTGTGTGCTATATTTGGCCTCACTGCTCAGGTTAGGGCAAAGAACTAGGCTCAAGGATTTACAGGAAATATGTTCTTGGAAAGGCAGTACCATATGAACTAAATAACATGCAAAACAAAAAGCAAGCATGCCCGTAACATAAAGCAACACAGACAGAGGTTTGGTCCACGGACGCAAAGGAATTCACCCAGCCTGAAGGCGGGAGAGACGTGTGCAGTGGTCGATCTCAGTGGAAGCACCCATTGAGGGGCTGAGCAGGGAAATGTTTTTACACCTTAAAAATGGGCTTAAGCGCAGGTAATAGCAGATGTGGGAGGGGGTCACTCCTAGTCACGCCCAGCTGTACTGGGGAAATTCCTGGGTCACTGATCAGCATCAAATGCAGGTAGAGGAAAGCTTCTTTATTGGGACCAGAAATTAGGAGGAGGTTTGTGTTTGCAATGGGATATCCCAGGAATGGGTGTGGATCCAAGCTCTCGGTGTCTTATCTGTTCAGGAGCTCCCATCATTTAGCTGCTTGACCCAGGGTCAGAATGAGTCGAGAGAGTGAAAAAGTAGGAGCTGTCTGCTTTTTATATATTTATGGTCACTCGGACCATTTTACCTAAGTGACTCCATATGGGAGTCCTATAATTTGTCATTACAACATCAAACAACATATTTCAAAAATCTCAACTATCACAGTGTGGGTGTTACAGTATCCAAAGTTCTCCTAGTTTGCTCATTTCGTTCTTCATCCGTATATACAAGTCCTAAAAACTGTTCTTCTTTATAATGTTGTTACATAAATTATTCTCCTGGTTCCGCTCATTCACTTGGCATCAGTCCATACAAGTCTTCCAAGGATTCCATGAAATCATCCCCTTCATCACACTTAACGGCACAATAGTGTTGAGAGCGAATTTTGGGGAGAACATAACTGACTCCATAACGTTCCGTATCCGCCGTTTTGCTGTACGCGGCCCCTCCAGAACTGCACGTTGCAGCGGCTGGTGTCCTTTGGTGTCGGTACAAAAGGACTTCGTTGCAGAAGGTGGAGGGTTCCAACATCCTGAGAATGTCCTCCTGCCTTGTCTAGTTAATGGACGGTTCTATTTGATTTACTGAAACTAGCTGTACTACATAAGATACCTCCTTTATCTATCCCCTGTAGCAAATGATACACGTTTTCCTGTCCACTATCTTTCTTTGCATGGCCACCTGAATTTTAATGAGTATTTCTTTTCCTTTGGTTCACATAATGTAGCTTCCTGAACTGTGAGTGACCACCAGCTGCTGGTGGACAATGCCACACTGACTGGAGTAAAACCCGGCTCCTGACCGATCTGGCTTCGTGGCTTTAGCTGGCTGAGTGGAGAAGAAAATTCACGCCACAGCAGTATCCCACCCCACTCGCGTAGCCTCACTTTTTCAGCCGTTCCCCGGGCAGTGCCACCCCAAAAAGAGCTGCTGTTTCTGCGCCCACTGGTCCTTTTCTCCCCTCTTTGATCGCCTTGGGAGACAGAGCTGGTGTAGACCGGCGCGCTCGGTCGGACAGCCTTTAGGCACAGAGCTCCACGGGTCCGCGGCGCAGCTCCACCAACGATGCGCCAGCTTAGCCAATCCAGCGGGGGTGAGGCGGAACCTTTGAGTTGTCTTTATTTGCATTTCTCTAATGAGCAGTGATTTAACACTGCTTCGTATGGCAATAGATGGCTAGGGTTTCTTCCCCCTGTTCACACCCTTAACCGCTTCTCCACTGGCTAGACTCTGTCCTTACGCAGCTCAGAGGCGAGGCCTCTAGCAAGCAGAAAAACTCCATTTCCCAGAGGTCTCTGTAGCCTCCAGGGTCAGCCCACAGCGAGGCCCCACCGCGGTGACTATGGAAACCGAGACAAGCTGGCTCCGAGGAAAAGAGTCTTCAGGGGATTGGTGGACAGAGAGGCGCGGCCGGAACAGGCGGGACTAAGACGGTCTGTTAATATGTCACTTCCGCATCTTCGCGGGGCTCTCCCTGTCGTACGGGGCGCGCTTTCGGAACCGTCTCAACTGCGCTCCGAATTCGGCCTCCTCCTCCGCCGCCGCCGCTGCCAGGGCCCGAGCTCCGCTCCCCCCGGAAGGGTGAGTCAGGCGGTAGGCGGGGCAGGGGCCGAGATAGGGAGGAGCTAGCAGCGAGGCACCTGCTTTTGTTGCTTCCGGGAAAGGGGCGGGGTCGGGAGGAGGAGGGGCCGGAGCCGCGCGTGCGCAGTGCGCGACTCCCTCCTGCCACTCCCTGCCGTGGCTCCCCTTCACCCCAGCGCAACGATCTCGCACTCCTCCCCAGCTCAGCTTGCCGGGGCCCACCCCCCCCTTCCCGGGCCTGGCCTCTGCCTGCCCCATCCCCACGAGCATTCATGCTGCACCTACGGTGTGTTCATCCTGCCCCCAAAGAGTCCGCAGTCTCACGGGTGCAGGACAAGAGTTCGACTTCTGCCCCAGACCCTCACTCGCTGTGGGTTCTGGGCAGATCAGTTATCCTCTCTGCGTCCCTCAGTTTCGCCAGCGTTAAAATGGGGATAACAGTAGCCCCACCTCTGGGAGTGAGCTAGACGCCTTCCCTTTGGGCACGCGTGTGCGTGTTTCTGCGGGCATATGGTACACTTGTGTGCGTGTGTAGACATTCCGAGGTGTTGGGGGGGCAGAGACTCGGGGGCCGACGTGCTCTGAAGAGTAGCTGGGCTGCAGGGGGCGGACTGAACGAGGAGAGGTGTGAAGGGGGGTGGGTGAAGGTGCCAGGGGTCAGTTACAAACGCTCCTCGGCAGTTAGATGCATCTCACCCCAGAGGTGACGGGTAGTGAGCGGTCTGCCCAGGTCCTTTCACCTTCCCCTCCCAGTGCCCCCCCCAGGGTACTACTGTTTAAACGGTCTACGATGCCAGCAAAAACTCTTTATCTGTTCCAGGAGTTCCACACCATGCCTTCATGCACTTGTCCCAGTCACCTGTGATGTCCCCCATGCCTGGAACCCACGCCGCATCTCGGCTTTTCAAGACCTTTTTCTCCTTTCAAGGCCCAGCTCAGGTGCTGCCTTTACCGCAGTAGCCCTGAGTGGGATTGAAATCACCTACCCATTTTCAGAGGTTTCTCTAGGTAGAAACAGAAGTTTTATTTAGCAAGTCCAGGGAAGAATTGGGCATCACCTACCCAGGGTGAACTGGTGTATGTAGGGAGGCAGGATACAATCAGCAAGCAAGCAGTTACATACCCCTAGACAAACAATTCTAAGAAAACCCCACCCTCCCACCTTTGAACCCGAATCTCTTTATCCCCATTGATTGAGGTAAGAGACCTTACATTCTACCCAGAAACTGAGAGATACGTTTTACCCAAAACAAGCTTGGCAGCTAGAAGATTGCCTTCTTTGGCAAAGAGAAGGCTGGAGTGATGGTTACAAAACAAGGGAGGGGGTGGGCAGCTGGTGTATGACCCTATTACACGATTTACAGGAAAATGAAACTTAGGCCCAGCTAATGCTAAAGCCTTAACTAAATTTTGGGGCATAGCTTCCATTTCATATGAGAAACTTTCAGTTGTCCCACACAGCCCCCCTGTTTTTGTACCATATCTCACAATCCTTTCCTCCATGCATTCCATGTCCCAGCCAAGATTAAGAGCTTACTTGCATATTATAGGCAGTGGTTAATTTATTCTTCAAATGGGATGCATTGGGGAACAGCTCCTTAGCCCCTTCTCTGTCAGCCCCTCAGTAGAGAGGTGGGTGGGACTTTCTAGCCCTTCGGTCTGGGATCCAGGGCCAGGGCAATGTTTTCTCACGGCTCTTCTTTCTTCAGCAGCTCTGCCTTCTGACAGCCTGATCCTTAATGAAAAGGAAAGCATGGCCCCTGTACTCCTGACTGCCAGGCCCCCCCAGGTGAGTGGCAGTGTGCCCTTCCAGAAGTGCCAAAGCAGTGCTTCATACGTTGTCTCCCTATTTCCATTTCTTTAATATGATTTTTATTGTTTCCGTGATTTCTGTCTTTGGCCCCCTCTATTTGGAGTATATTTTTAATTCATATTTCTTTCATTAGTTACAATTTTGGTTGTGTTTTGGTGTCTGAAAGTTCATGTTTAAGATTTGTCTTTCTGCATTGTTTGAGTTCTTTGTTTCCTAATAAGTGAACAGATTGTATGAGTACCGTGACAACCTTAGAAGTTTGCATGCTGGCAAAAAGTCTCTTTCAGAAGTCCCCTTGAGTCTATTAAATCTTTTTTTCCCAATATTTTATTTAAACCCACAATCTCCTCCTTTAACTCTCTTTTGGGTTTGTCAAGTCTGACAGAGATCTTAAGATCACCTACAGTTATTGTCTTCTTATCTTTCTTTCACCTCAGTTATATTTTCCTTAAAGACCTGAGTTGATGTAATAATTCAGTGCATTACAGCGATTCTCTAAAGCCAGCCTAACCATGTGTGTGGGATGCCACTCAAATTAAAGAACACACAGAGGTATCCAAGGAGAAACAGAAAGTTAATTTATTATATCAAACCTCGAGATTTGGGCGTCCTTCACCAGAATACTTTGATGAAAGGAGACACAGACAGAAACAAAGGACCTGATCATATACCCTAATGGGCAAATTCCCCCCCCCTTCCCACCAACTGTCCATTATTTGGCTCACAATCTCACCACAAAACTCTACATAGAAACAAATAACAATAAACATTATGCATATCTTAGTTACGAACAACAAAAAATCAACATACATATCCATACATAGCCCCTCAGTTTGCTGAAATATCACAAAGAGCAATTAAAATGTGCAGCCAAGCTAGACGTTGTACTGTATAACCAGGTCACTATGACCAGTCCATGGCAACAGTTGTAGCAACAAGACACAAGGAGAGTTCCGGAAGTTTCAGGCTTGGTACATTTTAACTAATGATGTAATACTAAAAGAAGGGCAACTATAGAAACTTATACTTAACCCTATCCTGCCTCCTTAACTTATTTTCAAACTCAGGATTGTCTTATCCCAAACCTAAACCTTAATTACACTGAGAAGTTTTCACTGGGACGTCCCATTCAATCCCTCCTCTTATTTCATACTTACTGAAAACTTCTCACTTCTCACACCACTGTTGATACATTTCCTCAACTAACCTATTTATCCCTTCTTGCATTTGCCCATTTTCTTCCCCATTTTCAATTCCTTCTTCTTGACTTATTATATTCTGCTCCTGTTCTTTCAAAACTCACAGTTTGACCGATTCAGTAACTGATTGTAGTCTGGTAGAAATAAGGGATACTAAACAATTCAGTATACAGGGGCAAATAAAAGACATATTATAATGATCATAATAATGAAAAGAATAGAATATACTACTGATTTCCATTTATCCCATAGTGATATGGCAGGGAATAATTGTTGTCTAGTATCTTCCATCCATGCAGCTGCCTCATGTAAATGATGGACATTAGTCACTATCTGTTGCGACTTGTTTATGTATAAACAACAGGAAGTATTCACTACCATACATACACCTCCTTCTGCAGCTAATAAGTAATCCAATGCTATTCGATTATCTAAAACTTCACATGCTAAAGAGTCTAAAGATTCCTGTAAATTCTGTAGACCTTCAGCCGTTTCATTAGCAATTACTTCTATAGTTTTGGTGATATTAGTTAGAACAGCTTCGTGATCAATGTATCCTACCCAAGGTATAAGAAATGCTGTGGTTTTCCTAACCCACCACAAAAAATTGTCCCATGAACTCCGTTTAGTACGGTATAAAACCTGCTCAGGAGTAGTAGTATACCTGTACATTTGCATCCCCAGGATTAATTTTTATAGGGACTCAAACATTGGAAAGCGTTGAGAATAGTGACCATATCCCACAATGTATGATTAAGCCAAGTTTCATATACAACTAAAGAATCTGTAGATCTGCCACACACAAATATATATCCTGCTGGAGCACACACCAAATTTAACTTTGTAATTTTTAATAATGATTCTACCTTCTTTCCCCAAACACTAGACGAATTACAAGTTGGAAGGAAAAAGGAGTGTAAATCTGTTTGATTTATCTTTTGATGTATTTGCCACGTTGGAGGTTTGGATCTAGGAGGTCTAGTAATACTCCTAAAACTACGTCCTTGTTCTAAAATAGTTAGATCAGATAACCAATAACTACAAGCAGTAGGAGCATATTTCTTAATACCTGTTTGGTTAAAGAAAGCAAGAGTTTTATTACAACTATCACACATAATATGAATATTATTTGGGGTAGTGAAAGTAGTAATATTTCCCTTCACACAGATATAAGTAAAGGGTCCAATCTGGGCAGTCCCATCTACATTGATTAATAAGGGACCATAATGTCTAGTTTGATTATAGGTTTTGTTGAAAAAGGATTCCCAGTGTCAAAACAAGGTATCAATTGAAATGTATCCTTGTCTGGTTGTACTGGGAATAAAGGAGTGGCATATCTTATAGAGGGCTATGGATCTGGCCAAGTGGTGAGATTCTGTAGTCCCCTACATTGTGGTGGGCCACTTCTCACCTGAGGATGGAACTGACATACCCAACAGTCCCTTGGTCCAGTACTAGCCACTGCTTGTCCCCACCATACCAGGGAGTTCTGCTGCCATTCTGGTATTACAGAAGAAATCATATTCACAAACAATACAGATCTTACCAAGGAATTTCCCATGGTACCACACTATGATGAAACACCAAATAAAAAAAATAACAAAATAAAAACCACACATTGAAAAATTAAGCATTACACCCCCATCTTATCATGAGTCACATGGGCACTCTGTAAGGGTTCCCTGCGAAAACGCAGTTTCATATCTCTAGGATGTTCTGATTCCACAGTCCATACAGTAGAGGGTGCTACCGGTCCTTTTATTCTCGTATGATGAGTCCACCCACGTTCTTGAGTCCTCACAGCAGTGTCAGAAGTTAAAAAGATCTGAAACAGCCCGTCCCACGAGGGGGTGAGTTTTTCCTCCCTCCATGTCCGAATCAGCACCCAATCTCCAGGCTGGAACTTCCGTACTGGAAATCCAAGAGGGGGGTTCTGGGCCACCAGACCTTTACTCTGTAAAATTTTAAGATGTCTTGCCAAATTTTGTACATACTCTCGGAGGAATTTATCCTGACATTCAAAGATAGGATCCCAATTTTGATCATTTCTCATCCCTGGATAAGGGTGACCCTATAAAAGTTCATAGGGTGACAAACCAACATCCCTAGGGGTTTGATCCTAATCCTAATCAAGGCTAGAGGGTAAACACTTAGTCCAAGGTAACTGGGTTTCAAGATTCAATTTAGTAAGCTGTCTTTTAATCTCTTGATTCATTCTTTCCACCTTGCCGGAGGAGGGAGGATGCCAGGGAGTATGAAACTCCCAGGAAATTTCCAAGGCTTGCATAAGGGACTGGAGAACCTTAGCAGTAAAATGTGTCCCCTGATCCGAGTCAATTCTCTCCACCATCCCATATCTAGGAATAATTTGTTCAAGTAAGATTTTAACAACTGCCTGAGCAGTAGCCTGTGACAGGGAAAAAGCCTCCACCCATGAAGTCAAGTGGTCCACTACAACCAACAGGTGTTTGAGACGGCCAACAGGGGGCAGCTCAGTGAAGTCCACCTGTATGTTTTGAAAGGTTCTTATGCCGGGTGATCTGCCTCCTTTTGGCGCTTGGCGTTGGGCTGACCTGTTTGTCCTTCGACAGACAAGGCAACCGTCCACCAGCTGCTGGGCTAACGTGTACAAGCCAGGAGTTGCAAACCGGGTTAGAACCGCATCACACAGGTTTTGGACATCCCAATGACTGCCTTGATGTAAAAATTGTAATATCTGCCTCATACCTGCTTTGGTCAGTACCTCTCGACCATCAGGCAGAAACCAACGTCCCTGTTTGTCTTCCTGTGCTCCAAGTCCTTGAGCTTTTTCTTTCTCTTCCTGAGAAGAGGATGGAGCAGGGAGACTAGGAGGAAAGAGGGGATCAAGACCAACATTGGATCACCCTGCTTAAGTTCTCCTCCCCCTTGCTCGGCAAGGCAGTTTCCTCTAGCTTCAAAAGACATGCCTGGTTGATGCCCTTCTGCATGAATTACCGCTATTGCTTCAGGTAACAATAAATTCTCTAAAACTTGAGTCACTAATGTTGTATGTGCCATCTCTTTTCCTTTACTATTTATCATTCCTCTCTCTTCCCATATTTTTCCAAACACATGTACCACTCCCCATGCATATTTAGAATCTGTATATATATTCCCTCCTTGCCCTTTTAACAATTTTAGGGCTTGGTTTAAAGCATAAAGTTTGCAGGTTTGCGCTGACCCAGTCTTAGGCAAACCTCCTGCTTCAACTAAAGAATTTCTGTCCCCATCCAAAATCCGTTTTGTCTTTTTCCTTCCACCACCCAAGAAGACCCATCCAAAAATAGATTTATTCCTCCAGGAATAGGAGACTCTTGCAGGTCTTCCTTTACTTTAGTTTGATAATTTATTAAATCCAAACAACAATGTTCAATATCACTTGATTGCCCTGGACTGGCACTCAAAAAGGAGGCAGGATTAACATTATGATCCTGTGTCAAAACCAAATCGTCCTTTTCCAATAAAATTGCTTCATATTTTAATATTCTTGAATCAGTTAACCATCTTCCTGCTTTTTGATTAAGGATAGTTCTAACTTGATGGGAAACACTCACAATCAGGCTTCCCCCAAAAGTAAGCTTCCTGCTTTCCTCTACTAAAATAGCTGTGGCAGCTACAGCTTGAATGCAAATCAGCCATCCTCTAGCTACTGAATCCAGAAGCTTAGAGACGTCTTCGCCCTCCTCTTATTTGTGCCAAAAGCCCGAGGGCTACTCCCTTATCTACATTTACAAACAAATGAAATGGCTTCTCCGA